ATCCTGGCGATAAATCCTTTTACGATTTCCAGAGGTGGATTCGCTCCTAGGATATAGCAGATAACCGCATTGTCCCAGAGTCCTTTTTCCTCAATCACATCCTCGTCAGTAAACCTAGCAATCCTTTTTCCATTTACTTCTTCAAATTGATAGAAACTGAGATTTGTTTGTACCTCCGTGGATGTAAGAATTTCCGCATAGGTAGGTTTAGCTTGTTGCTCAATTCTGATTTCATCTCCTGGTTCTTCAGGCAATCCAGATTCAGTAAAATCGGGCACTTTATTCGCATCAGTCGTCGGTGTTTCGCCTCCTTTTGGAGTATTAGCTGAGCTTCCTGCTTCCTCGATAGCCTTCCCTAATTGTGTTTTTTGTTCTGTAATCACCGATTCATCGTTCTTCTTTGGACGCCCTTTCTTCTTCGCCATGGGAAGGAGAGAGTCGCTCAATTTCGGCCTAGATGTTATGGATGTTGTGATCGAAATAAAGAGTAGTATGCATTACCCACTTTTTTTATGTTGAATTTATTTTTAATCCCTAAAATTTTTTGATTTATTTTTGGTTCCTTAAATATTATTGCTCGTTTTACAAGAACAAAAAAGATATTTAACTATAATATATTTTTAATTTAAGCAAAAAATCTTAATGAAAAAGATATTTAACTATAATACTTCCACCGACCCTAAAAACATGAGAGATTTTATTTTTTAAAAAGATTTAAGGAAAGTGTATTTTGGTGTTGAGTTTCCAAAAATGTTTTTGGATGTGATGGATAAAAATATGATTTGATAGCTAGATTAATAGTAAATATATGTGATGTGATAAATAAATTAAAAATTAGTAGCAGTAAAAGTGATTTTTCAATAAAAATGAGAAATTTTTTTTGAGGCAGTTGAAAAAATAAAAGAGAAAGGTTTTAAAAAACGAGAAAGTTTATCAATATTGACTATAAAAAATTAAAAATAGAAAAATATTTTGAAATGACATGTTATGAATTTGGATATATAATATTATTGTATATTAAATTATTAATCATATATAAATACAAAGTGCTTTTTTTAAGTAGCTATTGTAAGAAAGTGGAAAGAGTTGGTATTTGTGATGCTTGTTCCCTCTACCATTATGATTTGGGTAATGCTATTTGTACCCCTAAGGATTTGTACCCCGTTTTGTTCCATTTACATTTTGTTTCCGTGTAAATTTTTGTTAACGTACCAATATTTTGTGTCAGTGTGAACCCTCAAAATGTTGGTGCATACATTTAGTGTACAACTAGGGTACAAATTTTGGAGTACGGCCAAACTACCAAAGGTTTAATGGCACAAGAAGGAATTGGGAAAGAAGGTTTAATGGCGGCCAAGGAGCTCAAGCGGTTGCATTCCAGTCTCGAGCGGTTCATCATCAAGTCTAGCGTTTCTCGTCTGCTCAAATCCGATCTCGTCGCCATCCTCGCGGAGTTCCAAAGACAGGAGCTTGTGTTTCTCTCCATGAAGGTACAAACAGTACAGCAATCAGTTCCCAATTACTCTACCATTTTTGCCCTCACTATTTTTTTATTGCATTTGAAATTGAAAGAATTTCCAATTACACCATTCTATTCTTCTGTATTTGTTTTTCAATTGAATGTCTTAACTCTTAACCACCTTCTTATATCTAGTAGGGGTAAGTTTTGCGCACAATTCTGGGAATCTCTCCTTTTTCGAAAAGGAATCTCTCCTTTTTCGATCTCCTCTTCACGCTCATTTCTGTACTCTCTTGTGTTCGCCGGTCATCATGGCCGCTGGCAGCACCCCTTCCGCCGTCACTAAAGACACTATATATATATATATATATATATATATATATATATATATATATATATATATATATATATATATATATATATATATATAATATTTGATAGTTGATTATTAAAAGAAAAATGTAGGTGTACCACATGTGTCCCTCACCCCCTCCTTGTCCACATAAAAAGGCAAGAAATTCAAAAAAAAATAAAGAAATAAAAATCAAATAAAAATGGGTGGTGGAAAAGGGGGTGGTGTACATTTGGGGTACACCTTTGGTGTACCCCTAGCATTGCTCTTATTAAAATTATGACATATGTCACTTAAAAGGTTTATTTCTTTTGACACATCAGTCTTCCACGCGTCGGACCGCCGTTCAACCATTTTCCTTGACCGAAAAAAATTTCTGGAAACGTTCCTTTCTTCGTTCCTGGCAATTCGGCAAAGAAGGAAGCACGGGATTTCATACAACTATTCAAGGATTCGCGAAGATTAAAATAGAAACTTCCTTCTTCATCCCAATCTATTGCCGGTACAGTCCAAAATATGGATCCTTTGACTATGATATGTGGAAAAAACACATTGTATTACGATATAACTTTAATATGAATATATTCATTTTGATATGTAGTTTTCAAATATCAAATTTTTATAAAATATATCCATGTATAAATAAAGATATGAGTGGTTAAAGTGCAATTTTAGAGACCGTAAAAAGTCAAATGGAAAGAACATTTTCAGACGGAGGGAGTAATATTTCAAGATCTAAAATGATTAAACTCGACATAATTATTTTCAAACATAATTGGGCGGGTCTTCTATTGTTATGAGTTATGACATAGTGAATCAAAGAAGGAAAAAAATTGACTAGGTAATGTAGATTATTATTGAATTAATGCAAACCAAATTAGAATCCAAAGTACGAATTAATGCAGCAATTGAATTGGAATAGATTATGGATAATTCTATGGGGACACCGGATATGTACACCGGATGTCCCCCATATACTCCATACCCCCCCCACACAATCCCCCCTCCAAAAAAAAATTCACTCCACCCCAAAAATAAAATTTCTCTCTCTTTCTCTAGGTTTCCCCCTTATCCCATCCGCTGCTTCGCCGTCCATGCGCCTCGCAGCATCATAGCCTGGGATTGTCTTCATCGCCGTCCCTCGCCGGCGATTGTCTCTCGCAGGGCCGGTGATTGTCTCTCGCAACATCATCACCTTCCAGGTATTATTATGCTGAATTTTTACTTTTTAAGGGCTTAATTACATCAAATTTCTAGCCAAAATGGTAAATTGCAGCGATTAAATAGACCAATGAAATGCGTGGTCCGAAGTAGAAGAAATAGGTATTCATATGCAGAATTTTTACGTTTTCATCTTGGATTATGAACCCTAAATTCCTAATTACCGTTATTTATGTTTATGTCCGAAAAAAATGGTAAATGTATGTGAACTGCTATTCACAGACGCGGAATATCTATTTTTTGTTTACAGTTCTTGCCTGCTTTGTATCATGTTTTATCTGTCTCAATTATTACTTTTTGATCATCTATTATAAACCCTAAGTTCTGAATAATCTTTATGCCATGTTTAGTTTTTAAAAAAATGGCAAATGTATGTGAAATGCTACTCACAGACGCAGAATGTATGTGTTCAGTGTTACTATCATATCTCTAATAGAAGTACTACGCTAAGGTTATTAGTTTTCTTTGCTCTTTTATATCCGATGACTATGGCAGCTTTAGGTAGTTATTTCATCTATGTATGTTGAATGGTTTGTGACAAGAGGTTTAAATTTTTTATCTACACTCTCACAGACACACTATGTTTGTAAGGAAAATATTACAGACACGTACAAATATTGAGTGTATGTGAATTACTTACTCATAGATGAACATTGTTGATGACATTTATTTTTTCTAATAGATTGAGAAAAGTGCACGGATTTCTTCGGACCATGGCATCTTCCTCTTCGACTTCCAACTACCGTGTGAAGAAGGAGACAAGGAGACAATATGAAGCAATTTCTTCCAATTTTAAGATGGCGGGGCCTGAATTAGATCTACGTTATGGTACGGTAAAGTGTGATTGTTTGCCTCAATCAAGAAATTGTGTAATTCGAGTTGTGACTGACCATGAGAAGCCAAACAAAGGTAGGCTTTTTTATACTTGTGATCACTGTGGGTTTTTTCTTTGGTGCCATCCACTGAAGGCTGAATTTCGAGGTGAGCCACTGCCAATTGATAGCTCTGTAATGGGTCGGTTTGTTCNAACTTGAAGATGGCGAGGCCTGAATTAGATCTACGTTATGGTACGGTAAAGTGTGATTGTTTGCCTCAATCAAGAAATTGTGTAATTCGAGTTGTGACTGACCATGAGAAGCCAAACAAAGGTAGGCTTTTTTATACTTGTGATCACTGTGGGTTTTTTCTTTGGTGCCATCCACTGAAGGCTGAATTTCGAGGTGAGCCACTGCCAATTGATAGCTCTGTAATGGGTCGGTTTGTTCAAAACTACGGAGAATTTGAGGAGGAGAGCTATTTACATGAGAATGCACGTGGTGCTCAAAACGAAGTGAATGCAGCTGTGCCCCGTGAGAATCATTGCAATAGGGGTGTGAATCTATATCAAACCATAAACCTCCTTTGCAAGTTGTTGGGTCTTGTTGTTGTTTTGGTTGCTCTTTTGAAGTAGGTTGATGTATTTAGTAGTGTTCTTGGGGCTGTGTAGTATTTTGAGTTGTTGATGTTCAAGTACTTATGTACCAATGTTGTATGACTTGTGTTGAGTAAATTTGTGAAATTTGTGTAATGGAAGATCATTGTTTTGTCATTGTTTTTTATGGCTTGTATATTCAGTTTTATGGTTTGTCCTTGTATACCAATTTTTTGTTTCTGCCTGTATGCAAAAACAAGTCATCACAATGCAGACACTGATGAAGACAAACAAGACACTAAGATGAGTATTTCGTCTAGCTAAATGAAAACCAAGAAAAACCCGCACTTGCTAACTTGAAAACCTGCACAAGAAAAACATGTTACAATCAATGGCTCTTCTTCACATCACATGAACTGGTATTCTGGATTAAATGCAAGAGCCTCGAGGTAAAAATGGTATTCAGGCAGAAACATGAACTGGTATTCTGGAAAAAGTGGTAAATGTATGTGAACTCCTACTCACAGACGCAGAATGTCTATTTTTAATGTTAATTGCTTGCCTGCTTCGTATCATGCATTTATCTTTCTGAATTTTTACTTTTTGTTCTTGTATTATGAACCATAAGTTCTTAATTGCAATTTTTCATGTTTTGAAAAAAAGGTAAATGTATGTGAACTTCTACTCACAGACGTAGAATGTCTGTTTTCAATATTAATTGCTTGTCTGCTTCGTATCATGTATTTAATGAGACGCTTAAGGTGTTTTGAAGCCTGAAATGAGAGGCTTATTGTCATATGTTCAACTAAGTAAGGAGTATGTTTTGGTCACACAGACAACAAGTGTCTGTAATTCATCGTAAACAGAAACTTATTGTCTGTAAAACTTAAATTAAAAATTACATATTTCAAATATAACAAATAATGCTATAGTAAAGAATGTTTCACAATTACTCGTGATTGTAAAAAAGAAAAGAAAAATTACAATTAATACTATTTAGTCACACAGACACTAAATGTCCTTATTTTCTTGAACACAGACATTTACTATTTGTGTAATCTGAATAAAACAGCACCACCATCTCTGCCATAATTTACTACTCCGGTGACCCTACTAACGACAAAGAAAGTCATTAACTCATTATGGCGGTATGGGAGGAGCGAGCAATGACGAAAAAACAGGTGGCGGTGAAGGAATCAAAGGATTGTTCGTTGCCCTGCTCCGATCCAGATCTTGATGATGATGATGATGATGCCGCTCTTGGATGCTTCTGGGCGGCGATGGGGAACTCACGCTGTGAACCTTCTGGGCAACGAAGAGGATGGGAAAAGATGACAAAGAAAGGAGAGAAATGAGGAAGAAGATGGGAAATTAGTGCGTGGAAAGAGAAAAAAAGGAAGTGGGGGGGTTAGTGAGGGAGGAGGGGGGAGTATATGCTGTTCAATTGGGGTACACCAAGTGGTGTCCTAGCGGGACTGATAGATTATTATTGATCTTTACATCACAAGAGATCAAAAAGTACAAACCCAAATGTCAACTCAAATGTAGACAATGCATGAGAGATGTCCCCAAACCCAAGTCCATATACCCCATGTACGTGCCCCATTTATATTATATACTCCCTCCGTCTCATAAAAAAATTCTCATTTTGACCATAAATAGTCAAACAGTTACATGTTTGACCATAAATTAAATATAATCTAAATAAAGAAATGCTAAAAAAATTTGAGATATCAAAACTAGATCATAAGGTGAATCCAATTATATTAAATTTATTTTATAATTCAATATACCTTTCTCACAATTTATATTCAAAGCGTGTAAATATTTGACTAAATACTATTCAAAATGGGAACTTTTTTGTGAGACGGAGGAAGTATTAATAATGTAATAATTATTAGTTTATTCATATATATTACGGAGTATTATTATTATTAGTATTATCAATCAGTTTATTAACCGGACTTTTTAATTAATTAAATCTAATAAAATTTGGGAATAGACGACTATATGGATGAATTTTTCGTTTGGCACTCGGATTAGTTGGTTGGATAATGATATAACCCAACCGAACTTCTTCCTAATACAAATTAAATAATCCTAATAATTAATAATCATAAATTTTGTATTAATCAAATAATGAAGATATACAAGAGGGAATACTAAAAGATTATTTAGAAAATTATGAAATAATAGAAAAATAACAAATGCTCCAAACGGATTACAATACAGTGACGGAAGGAGATATATCACATCCCCTCCATACTGTTTAGTGAACCCTAAACAATGTTAGAGTACAAATTAAATAGAAATAAAAAGTACAAATTACATAAAAAGTTCTACTCATAAAATAAAATGTGACAAGACTATTTTATTTTGTCAAATTATCAATGAAAACATACAAATTAACAAATGCTATCTAAAATGAAAAATAATAGTCGGGAAATTAATTTATATTTGGGCAGAGGGAGATTTTTAAATTTTTTTCTCTTCCAAACAGTCGAGTTTCACTTGATTTTGTTAATATTTGTAATTAAACGATATGATATATCAAAAGTCATTTCCTTTTTTTTTTAGATATCAAAACCTACCGTGATCCATTCCAGCACCAATTCGCTAGAGAAACGGGCCTTTAGTTCTAATTTGAGGGCCATCCAACAAACACTCAAGGTACTTAGAGGGAAAAATCTACTCCGAATGAGTGGTAGCTTAGATTTTAATTATAGATATGTGACAAATTAAAGGCCATTGGAGCATGCACCTGTTAGATAGTTGCATAGATTTTATATTTAACATAGTTATCTCTCAGCAAAGTTATCAGATATTGAACTTGAGTATTTTATCATGGACTCCTTTAACCTTGCCAACTGCGCAACACACGCCGACTGCCTAGAACTAATTAAAGTGGGTCTACTTGAGTATTTATACCATAATTCAGATGTATGATGTTTCCTGTACATCTACATGAATACTTATTGTCGAGCAACTGAATACTGATTTTTGACTAACTAAATGCTCATTTTTTAACATAATTGGACTTTAAAAAAATGAGTATTCAGCTATTCAAAACCGAGTATTCACTTGCTGAAAAAAGAAATATTCAATTACTTGTAAATGAACATTCGCTGCTAATTTACAAAAAATACTGTACAACTGGTTTACGATATATATTGCGGGTCTACTTAGAGAGGTCATTACTCATAATAACATGGAGCATATCCCTCGCATCTAAAGGAAGTGAATACTAGAGAGGAAACCTCTATCTATTAAACACCCTAAATTCACGGGTGATTATATGATTGCCATAAAAGGTGTTACAAGACATGAGAACACATGAATAGGATCCATGCATCTAATAATAACTATTCCCTCCGTACTACTAAGATCTTCTCATTTTGACTTTTTGTGGTTTTTAAGAAGAGTTGAAAAAAGGTGAAAGTTTACCATAATACCCTTAATGAAATGGGTGGAGTGTATTAAATGAGGTGGGTGAGGTGTAATAAATAAAGTAAGTGGGGACAATTGTGGTATTTTAATTGTTAAAAAATGAAATGAAAAGATCTATTGTGGACAAAGAAAAAGGGCTATTGAAAAGATCTATAGGGACGGAGGGAGTATATGCAAGTGACAATACATATGCTTTTATATATTGAAGCTAATAAGCTATTTATTGTATATATGCGCCGGCCGGCCTACACCATTTAATTTATTGAACCATAAAACACGGAGTATTAATTTTGAGCATAGTGTGTGTGTATGTGTGTGTGTTTGCTTGGGCGATTTTAGTAATCTATTCAATTGGGATTTGGGAGGGTGTGTGTATATATATATATATATGTAGGCCCCATTCTCCACACGCTTAGAGCTCCCAAAAATTTTTAGGGCTAATAAAAAATGTACACCATGGTGGCCTACTAATTAAACCATTTCGTGTAACTATAATTTGATTTATTCGGATTTACAATTAGGCCCCGTTTGGTACACGGAATTCAAATTATGAAATTGGTATTAAGGACTTTAATTCCAATTTTGGTGTTTAGTAACAGAAAAATTATGTGGATTTGGAATTGACAATGCAAAAAAAGAATTGAATTTTGGAAAAATTCAATTCTATGGAATTGAATCCCATGAAATTTCAATTCCAATTCAATTCTAATTCCATCAACTCCGTATACCAAACAGACCCTTAATGATTCTAACAAATTTAAATCCACATTATAATTGTAATTTTTATGATTTTAATGCGGTCATCATTTTTTCGCGGCTCTGTCCCTAAAAACATTTCGGTCATGTTTTGATTTTAAAGAGGAGAAGTTGTAGATGTTTGATGAATGTAAATAACGACAATTGATACGAGTAGGATTTGAGAAATATCTATTTCAGAATAAGGAAGATGTAGAAGAGAATTGTGAGAAATTAGGTTAGATTTAGAAAAAATGACGACATTAATGTCCATTTAAAATAAGGAAAACAAGTTTTTGGGACAAGTGTGAAAAAATAAAAAAATAAAAGTTTTTAGTGAAATTTGCACTAAATGGTACTAAAACATATTGCATTTCTCAATGTAGTAATGTAGTGCTTAAACATTTTTAATTATTTCCTAAATAGTATTTGAATAAAAATGTCAAGTGGCGGAAATAATGTCCAGTGATGGTGGACATTTAGTTTGAACAATGTCCAGTAGCGATTGACATTTAACTGAACAATGACTAGTAGTTGGTACTGCATTGGAAAATAAAAACATACTCCGTATGATACTACATTGGAAAAATTATTACTCCCTCCGTCCCAAAATAGTTGTCACACTTACTTTTTCAGCAGTCGCAAGAATTTTTGTTTAATTCTACGTTTTCATTGGTTATTTGATAAAATAAAATATTCTTGACACCTCTTATTTCGAATAACTTTTCATGCAGTTTTTTGATATGTAAATTTTATTTTTTATTTCTATACCAATATGTAAATAAAATGAATTGAAAGAACTTGATATTTTACCTCGAGAATACAAGTGGAACATATATTTAGAGAACGGAGGGAGTATATTTTAGTACTATTTAGTTAAATTTCCCAAGTTTTTAATTGGACCAAAAATCAAATTGTTGAAGACCATTATTGTAAAATGGTAGGAGTACATAGTTCATACCACCCACTGCTAGATACTTCCTCCATTCCATATTAACTGTCTAATAACACTTTCTTGATACATTGAAGAATGGATGAATGTAGACATACTTTATGTCTACATTCTTCCATTTTTCAATGTATCAAGAAAGTGTTATTAGACAGTTAATATGGAATGGACCTTTTAGGTAGTGTTAGAGTAAAAAAAGTTATATAGTGGAATAAAAGAGAATAGCCAAAACTAATATTGATTGTCACGTTGAAATTGAAGATTCTTTGTCTGGGGTCTAAATTGAATCATATGCATGGTTGAAATCTCCTCCCTACGCACTGTGAAGTGTGAACTGTCCCCTTATATTTATTTATTTTAATTTCAATTTTATAATCAAATTTAATAAAATTTGACTCTTATTTTATCAAATTTCACAGGATTTAATTATTAGTAAAATACCTTTACAGATTATTTTATCTTAATTTTTTAATATTATTTTATGCAGTATTGGATAACCATGACTTTCGTTGTAGTAGTCTACAATATTTTGACTTAAATTATTTTCCACTTAATTTATTTGTGAAGTGTAGTAGAATTTAAAACTAAAATTTATACTGAGTATATATTTAAAGATTAATTAAAAGATTCTACAATGTTAAACTATAAAATATTTTCTTAGTCTACAATTACAAGTTTGAGTTTTTTGTTGTGTCAGTTCATTAGTTAATATCTATGCATCAGAACCTTGTTAATTAATCAAGAGGTTTGAATCTCACGGTCACCCAATTTAAAAAATAAATGCTCACGTATGTGCAAGGCTCGAGCTAAAAAAAATTCATCTGCACGTGAAGAGCATGTTAATTAACTTTTTCCTGGATCTAAAATTCTAAGTTTGAGCTTTTGCTTGATTTTATTTCTTGACAATTGACACAAAAAAAATGTTACATACTTACATTATTATTTAAACATATCTATTTAGAAGTGAAAGGAATGTTAGCAAAAAAAATAAATTTTGATTTTTGAACATATAAATAGACAAATAGTGTATATGCAATATAATATTTGGGACAGAAGATTAAGAAAGTAAGTTATATAGTGGGGAATTGAAGGTAGTATTTTATTTTATAAATCCGGTGTTGATATTATATATATAGTCTTCTAATTTGCATGCTTCCATGTTTGTTTACTGTGATTGGTAGACATATTGAGCACCTTAGCCGTGTTTGGTTTGAAATGTTTGCCAATTTTTTAATAAAATATGAAAAGTAAACATATTGGTCCCACATACAAAAAACGTGAAAAATTGATTCCTAATTAAGTTACGGGAGTTCATAATCTAATTTCATATTTGTTCAATTCAGTTTGATTTGTTAGTGAAATTAAATTAATTTTAATTATAAATTAAATAAAAAAAATTAGATAGTACTCCGTAGTAAAAGTAATGAATTTATTATAAAAATTTATCAAATATTAATTTCATTGTATTTATATGCGACGTAAACTATTTAATATGATGTGGGATAGAAGAATTGAAGTATTATACATTTGAATATAAATGGTAAGTGTATATATACCTATTCTTTTACTCTTATTGGCTTGATTGCAATGTCTCTGCCTCCGCTAAAACTCAAATCTCGATGAACTTTCCTTTGAATTTTGTGGAGTGAACTTCCTAGCACTCAAGCCGTATACAAATTCACACGTTATTATATATGGAGTACTCAGATACAACACATATTTATTTTTCCACATAATTAAGTGAAACAATTGGTCATTTTGAATGTAGATACCTAGCTGACTGAGGTCTCATTTGTTTACAAAATTAACCAGACAAGTCGCTCGACTAACTAAGAATAATCATGCACCAGCCATTCATAGAATCTCGAAAGAGCTCTCAGTGGTGGTAATGAGATCATCAGACATGCTTGGAGACTAACGTTGATGGCCACACTGTTTTATGCCTTGATGATGCGCAACGATGTATACTTCGACTAGATGGCTTATGATGTTGATCGATGTTGATGTTTGTAAGCTTAAATTGGTCGTTTAGAATTGCTAGACTTCATGTTTATAAACTTATTAATACCAAATTTTAGACTCCAATGTAGAATTAAGACTAGAAGAAAAATTACATGCGTTAAAAAATTGAATTCAATTGGTTAATTTAAATCAAAAAGTTTATATAGTCATTATTTTTCTATTCGAATTGTGATGTGGGACATTTCTTAGTTTTAGAATAGAGCATCGCAAGTGTCACCATTATTTCATATGGTACGGTGATGGGGTAACTTTACCCTTCAACACTTTTGAATTTAACCATAATCCTCCCCTAGTGCATGTCTTTTGGCGGTGGGATGGAGTTTAGTATTATTAGTAGGACCATGCTACACTTACACCAAAACATATACCCCATTTGTATACCACAGTTTTGCACAAACATTTTGATGGTTTATACCGACACAAGTGTTGGTGCGTTAACAAAAATTTACACGGACACAAATGTTGGTGCGTTAAAAAAAATTAGTTTTACATGCACCAACACAAAATGTTGGTGCAAAACTGCGGGGTACAAATTGGGGTATAAATCTTGGGATAAGCATAGCATAATCCTTATTGGTAAGAGCAACATGTGTTGATCAGAAGGGTGATGGGCAAACAATGTTTGTCCACGCGTCAACATGGCATAAGCTAATGTCCCATACCAAAATGGAAGGCTCTGCTGTATATGCATGTATAAATATACCATATAGTACACTCCCCATATATACATTTAACTATACACAAGTGAATATTACAATTTCAACAAGAAAGAAGGAGAAGAAGATCATATCCATCCGTGAGATATACATACATTTTCGGTTTGAATGGAAGTGGGGCGGAAAATGGGGAGCATGATGGGGGGCGTAGGACACCGTGGCCTTAATTTGAAGGCCACGGAGCTGTGCCTCGGCCTTCCGGGAGGAGGAGGAGGAGGGGAGAGCGAGCCGGGGAATAAGATCACCGGAAAGAGAGGGTTCTCCGAGACGGTGGTCGACCTGAAACTCAACCTCCACCACCAGTCTCCGGCGTCCAACTCCTCTTCCTCTAATAACTCTGTAGTGATGGACGATCTCAAAGAGAAGACCAAATCTCCTCCCATGGAATCTAACAAAGATCCCATCAAGCCCCCTTCCAAGTAAGTAGAGTGCTTCCTCATTCAAAAGATTTTTCTTTTTTTTTTCCCCTATTATAATGTCACTTTTACTTTTACTTATTTTTATACTGAATATTTTACACATCATAATCATACGTATATGTTCCGTCCTTAATCTACTAATCATCACATCCAAGAAAATTTCAGAAAGTAAACAAAAATATCTCCTTCTTAAATTACAAAAAAATCAAAAGGTGAACAAGTTTTTGACTAGCTACTTTATACTTTGATGTCGTATTATGATATTTGGTACATACACTATTTTGTTTGGCTCACCGTGTTGGGGTGGATTTGTGCAGTGTCGGATGGAAACCATCAATTTTTCAATTACAATAACGTAGAGACCTAACAATCATGACATCCAAAATGAGTATCATATTAACCCAACGGATATATCCGACCCCTAGGTCTCAAAAAAAACCCTAGCTATATTCACATGTGAAATTAACTTTACCTTTTTATTCATTTTCATTGATCATTTGATTAAATAAAATAATCTTCTCGCTTAGCTACTTTGTTATTATAGAACTTGATTTAACATAATTTGTACTCCCTCCGTTCCCAAAAACACTTCCTCTTTTATTTTTTCCACTTCCAACAAAAAACTTCCACTTTCTATTAAAAAACCACTTTTACCCTTACTTTTTCATACTTTACCTATCACATCATACTTTTTCTATAATAATCAATCCATCGCATCTTACTTTTACCCATCACATCAGGAGCAAAATTGGAAGTCGACTATAACTTTATACTTCCTTATTTTGGCTCAAAGTCAAAGTAGGAACCTTTTTTGCAAACGGAGGGAGTATTTTTAAATTCTACACAAAATTTTACTTATATTATTTAAAAATAATTTCAATCAAACATCGTAAACCATGGACATTATTTTGGAAGGGCGAGTGTACAAATTAAAAAGTGCAAGAAGTTTTTATATAATTTGTCTTACGTGTTTAATTTAGGGCACAAGTGGTGGGGTGGCCACCGGTGAGGAACTACCGGAAGAATGTGATGGCGAACCAAAAGAGTAGCGAGGAGGTGGAGGAGGAGAAGGGCGGCGGTGGCGGAGGGGCGGCGGCCTTTGTGAAGGTGTGCATGGACGGGGCACCCTACCTCCGTAAGGTGGACCTGAAGATGTACGAGAGCTACAAACAGCTCTCTCATTCTCTTGCAAAGATGTTTAGCTCCTTCACCATGCCTCCAGGTAATATACTCCGTAATTCATAGTGAAATTTGCATTAAATGGGACTAAAACATACGGAGTAATAACTTTCCTAATGTAGGACTTAAACTTTTTTATTCCTTAAATAGGACTTAATAATGACCTAGTGGAAGAAATACTGTCTAATAATGATGGACATTTACTTGAATAATGACTACTTGATAATGACTAATGTTCTTACATTGGGAAATAAAAACATATGATCATATATTGGGAAAGTCATTATGTTTTCGTTCTATTTAGGTAAATTTCTCAATCTGACCAAACGTACCCCAACTATATTCTATGATCTACCCGTTTTGATATTTCTCGAACCCAATTTGTTACAATTATCGTCGTTTCGCCTTGGTCAAATTTTTATATCTTCTCCTTCCCAAAAAGTCAAAATCGGAAAAGTTTTTCGGGATGGGGGAGTATTAAACTTGATTAAGGATGGACGAGATTAACGTAAATAGTTAATAAGATGATGATGATTCAAATGGTAAATTATCTTAAGAAAGATTTGCACTAAATAGGATTAAACCATTAAACATTTCTCAATGTAGAACTTAAATTTTTTTATTCTCTAAATAGGATTTAATAAAATCTAATGGGAGGAATACTATGCAGTGGATATTTGCTTGAATAATGATTAATGGATAATGACCAATAGTCCTACATTACGAAATAAAAACATATGATCATATAGAAAAAATCATTATATTTTAATTATATTTAAATAAATTTCTCTTATATTAATTGCTGTAATTAAATAAGGTGGTGCAGGTAATAATAATAATGATAAGGAGGGGATGATGATAGATTTCATGACTGAAGGGAAGGTGGTGATGGATGATGATGTGGTGAAGTATGTGCCCACTTATGAGGATAAGGATGGTGATTGGATGCTCGTTGGGGATGTCCCATGGGAGTAAGTTCCTTTATTGTTTTTTCACTTCTTCTTACATCTTTTTTGGCATTAGCAATAGGAGTTAGAGTTACTATTTTTAAAAGGCTATGGCACGGTAGCCTATAGCGTTAGCGTTTTTATTGTTAAAATTTTTATCCAAAACGCTAATGCTAATCAAAAATATTATAGTCAAACAAGACCTTAATATTACACTCTAATGTTTGTTCATATATATATAGACACACACATTCAATATACTTCATCCGTCCCTAAATAAACATTCTCTTTCGTTTTTTCTTTGTCCCCAAATAAACTTCTCTTTTCCCTTAAAAAATCCCTTTTACCCCTTACTGTTTCATACCCTACCTATCACATCATACCTTTTACTAATAATCTACATATCACATCTTACTTTTACACATCACATCAAGGGTATTTTTGGAAAGTCAACACCAAAATATCCCTCCCTTAATTTCCTAAAAAGTCAAAAATGGAAGTTTATTTATGAACGGAGGGAGTATTAAAACATAGAAAGTCAAATAAAGCTCGAGCTTTGTGACTTTCCATATGAGAGATCCACGGTTACAAAACTCAACGACAAAAAATTGGATTAATCTCTTCATCTTGCTATTTTTGTCCTATTTTGGTTTAGATGTTTAAATTTATTCACTTTAAATCACATTTCTCTAAATATTTTTGTCAAATTTAAAAATGAAAATTACTACGAAGTGTACAACACTAAATTTGAAAGTAACATTAAAAAAGTTTACAAAAAAATGTGACATGATTGTTACGTTATTTTAATTAATTATGGATGTAAATGTGTAGAGGATTAAGCATTCATTTCACCAAAAAACAATTCATATTTATTACGGAGTACTATTATCCCTTTCGTTTCAAAAAAAAACAATTCATATTTATTACTGTAAGGGTCCCCATAACTTTAATTTTGTTTGTATGATTTTTTTGCATTAGACATTTTATATAATAAAATATTCTTGTTACTATTTATTTGTGGAACTATTTTTTCACAAATTATTCTCTGAAGAGTATTACTCATATTACAGTAATTAATTAATTAATTTCTGGAATGATTAATTTTGGTATTAAATAACACAGGATGTTTGTGAATTCCTGCAAACGCTTGCGCATAATGAAAGGGTCAGAAGCAATTGGGCTTGGTACGTCTCTTTCTTCCATGATAATCATTATTTCTTGATAAGTTTTTCATTGTCTCCACAAAATTAATGAACTACTTTGTATTAAAATTATGGCTTTAATTTAATTTTTATTCAAAAAAATTATATTTCATTATAATATCAAGTTATACTCGATCCCTCTGTTCCTGAATTCATCTTTCTCCTTTTTTTTTTCATCTGTCCTAAAAACACTTCTTATTTCTATTAAAAAGTCACGTTTATCCCTTATTATTCATACTCTACCTATCACATTATATTTTTTTTACTAATAATCTATTTATCGAATTGTACTTTTACCCATCACGTAAAAAGACTTTTTTAGAAATTCAATACTAAAATATACTTTTATTAAATCTTTTAAAAATCAATAACTAACTCCCATGTTCTTAGAAACGGATGGAGTAATATAATTGAGTTATTTTTAAGATTTATTTTTGATATGTCGAAATTTTAGAATAGAGGAATTACAATTTGTGGTCCGTTTGGGAGGGTGGAGGAAAAATGATTGTGGAAAGTCATTTTTCTATTTTCCTAGTGTTTATTATTCTAAGAAAAATAAGGAATCAATACAAAATTAAATTCGAATTCAATAAAATTAACCTAAATTAAATAATAATTCTCCGTACATTTTCATAAAGTCAACTTGACATGGATAGAATATCAATACCTTACATTTTAGTTTGCATTTTCTCTTTCACTATTGAGTTGGCATTTTTTAAATGGAAAAAATTTTAAATATTTATTTAAAATAAGATGTTAGATATTTCAACATATGCATCGATCTCAACAACTAAATAAAAAATAATTAGATTCTGCGAAGTAAAAAGAAAAAATTTCAAATGTAATTCTGGCCACATTTTACAAACCGTGCAATTTTTGAAGAATTCAGAAGAAAAAAGTAAACTTTTATCAAAAGTCAAATAAAAAGAAAAATTTTCAAATGGAAGAAGTTTTATTATTCTCTTTTTATCTTTAGTACTAATAAATATGTCAAAATATAGAGTAAAAATAATTACTCCTAAATTATACTGTATTATTCTAACATAAAGTCTTGTTATTGAATGAAATGCAGCACCAAGAGCTATGGAGAAGTGCAAGAGAAGGAGCTAATAATAATAAATAAATAAATAAATAAATATATCGTCACATGGCATGGCCTGCAGATTCATATTTCCTCTCCCAATTCAAGTTGTGCATGCAATTGAAAGTTAATTACTTAAATGTGATAATTGTTTGAGCTTTAATTTCTTTCTGTAATTTTATTTTATTTATTAATTATTCGAATATACTCGATCATATAAATATATATCATATATACTACTAGCTTTTATCGATGCACATCAAGGTTAATACAGACACACATAGACATTAAATGTATGTGTGTCCATATTAGCCTTAATGTGTATTTGGTGTCAAATGTTTGGGATCCTCCAGCATTTTGGTTTTTGTATTAGACACTTGTTGTAATGGACAAGAAGTAGAACAACCTTAATTAATACGGAGTACTCCGTAATTAATTAAGCTCTACTTGAATTGTGTATCTGCTGGTTTGTTTAGTTTAATTTATTGCAAATTAGTGGCTTGTTAATTAAGTGTAACATCTAATTAACTACTCGTACTATTTTTTTACGGAGTAATTATTTTTGTGTTTTGGTTTGTGCTATTAATAATTAATTATTGGTGTTGTACGAGATTATTGTCTTTGCTGTCACAGTGGTTGTGTGTTTTTTAATTTTATCTATGAAATGAATCTCAAATTTTCTCTCTTCTATTTCTTCCCCACTTCCTCTCTCTTTCTCTTCAGATTCTTCGTACGTACGATGCATTGTATTGTGTATACTTTCCAAATTCCAATAATTTATTCTGTACACAATTTAATATTCATATTTATGCGTTGTTTTGATATGAAAGTCTTCTTTTGGAGGGAACATGCCATGTGCTTCTTCATGGGTTAGTTTCTTCTTCCATCAATAATCATTTGATGCTCTTTAATTACTCTTTGGCATGTCTTCTCTCCATTTTTATTTCGCGACCGTTCTCATGACATCCTCGACAATATCATGGTATGACCCGGGAGTGCTCTGGTGCCTCATTCGTAAAATCGACAGTTCCTACCCTTCCATTTCCGAATCTGGTGTCCGGATTCGGAAATGGATCCTTTGGTCTTCCGGAATATCCTTTGTAACATTAGGTGACGATTTGGCTATCGCCCAAAATGTGACCGGTCACTTTTTGAGAGAAGTGACCAGTCAATTTTTGACCCGTCCCAATCGAAGAGTTGTCCTCATTTGGTGATTGAAGAAAGTGACCGGTCATGTTTTGACCCGTCTCTTTCGGTTATCCGGGTCGGGTATAAGGATATACCCATCACAAACAATTAATTTAGCGGTTTGACTAGTTCAATCCGCCGTTTATGGTCAAAGATACCAAATGCTGGGTGAACCGCCATTTACCAAACATGGCCTTAATGTCAAAATCTTATAGTCCCCTAGCACTCATATTTTCCTACCACTCATGTTATCAAACAAAGAAAAATGAAATCAAAGTTTTTCCCCAAAATATTATCCACAGCCAAACGTGCCCAAAGAATCTGAATTCTCTTTTCGGACAAGGAGGGGTATAACAAATGCCAATATCAATTAGTAATGTTACAACTGTACAAATTACACAAAAATCAACATAAACTATCCCTGGACAGCCAGTTCCTGCAAATGCTCAATGAACACTTGAAGGCTAATATCGTCAGTAAATACAACATTCAAATCCTCTCCTCCATTCTTTGAAGAACTATTATGATGAGTCACAGAGGGATTGAGCTTGGCAAGAAGAAACCTTGCCTGGCTACTGTGTTGATCACACCTGATCACCTTCGGGACCGGGACCCGCTCCGCCATTAACTGCTCCGCGTCCACTTCCGGAGCCTCCAACAGCTTCCTCAAACTCTCGTGCCGCGGGTCCCGCTTGTCGTAACCCATCTTCCGCCACTCTGCGATCCGAGACCCGTAGTGTATGACGATGTAGAAGTAGGAATCGAACAGCAAGATGACGTCCGGGGCGACCGACCCGACGTCCAAGAGAACGGGCACGGGCGGCCCGTCAAAAGAGTACTGGAACAGCGTCGGTTGGACCATGATAAGGGACCCCACCACCCCTTCCCGGTTCAACATCAACCGGAAGAACGCCGTCTCGTCCGGGGTGGTGTTGAAAACCTCAAGGAACTGAGACCGCCGGAGATGGTACATGAATTGGGGGTAGAGGGAGAAGTTTGGGGAGAGACGGAAGGAGGACGGGTCTTCCGGGACGTAATCGCCGAATTTCGAGGCGAAGCGGATCAATGTCTTGTCCAACCACCGGATGACGTCGTCCCCGTACTCGCTCTCCAATTTGTGGATCGCCAGCCTGGCGACCGCCGCCGCCGCCGCTTCTTGATCGAACTCGGCGGCGACGGACTCGGAGCGGGCCCCGTTGGCCCACCTTCTCGCCGCTGTCGTCACCCTTTTCCGGACGACCCCAGCGGCATCACCGGCGCGTCGGTAGCGCGTTATGAACTGAATGAAGAATGCGGAGTTGTCGCGGGGCCTCTGTTCGCCGCCGCTCCCGACTTCAAAGTAGAATGCGATGCAGGTTTTGTTGGTGAGAGTGCTCGATTTCCACGCATGGGTCCCACCGTGGCCGACTTCTTTGTGGCTCGCAGATCCGTTTTCGTTCTTGCGTAACGACACGCACGGGCCCAAAGCCCCGCAAATTTTCACGTTCTTCGTGGTCACTATTTCTATCGTCGCGTCGAAACACATGTCGAGATTCCCGAGCTCATCGCGCCGGGTGAATAGGTGACGGACACATTTCTTGAACTGATCGGAGTCGAACGATTCTCCGAGCATCATGAACCCTCCGGAAGTTTCCACAGGAACCTTAAGTTCTGCTGCCCCTACTTGATCCAAAGAACAAGCGAACAGATCAAGAACAATGGATGAATCGGATAGTCTCTCCGAGATTTTCTTGTAAAACCCATTGGACTTCCCGTAGTAAACTGCCCGTCCGCGTTCAATGTCTTTGTGAGTTCTCATCGCGTTTCTCAAATCCGAATCCACCACCTTGCCCGGCCCGACCGTAGCGGGCCCGGAAGTGAAAACTGTGACACGGGAACCCGTGTTGATTGAATATCCTTCAAGAAGTCCTACGGCAAGGGATATTGCAACTCCCGTGGCTCTAATGGGACGGTGATGTGGCGTGACATGTGGCGAAGGTTGGATGTCTTCGATTGCAGCAGATATGTTGAACTCCCCCTCAGAGAGACATGTCAAGAATCCAGCTTTCTGAACGGCTTGGTGCTTCACGGTATGAAACCCTAGTTGCTGTTTGATCTGTATGATAAAGGAAACAGCAAAGAATAGTCAAAATGTAGAAGAAAGACTATCAATTCTCTACAAATAGTCAACAAAATTTGAGACGTGATGATTCTGTTCTATGAATTTATAACGGAAGCAAACAAAAAACAATAATGTCATACGATAATGCTGGAACATACTTATGTCTTAGAGCTCGTTTGGCAGCTTAAAATATCTGTTTGTCTGCAAGATTATCCACCAAACAAAAAGTTTAGGCTCATTTGGTAGCTTGACTTGACTAGACTACTACCTATTGGTTGAGAATGAAACTGGTAGTGAGTGAGTAAACTTTCTTTTTTTGTTGAAATGGCTCAAGTTACAGTAAATATAGCACAGATCCTTTAATTATTTAGTTAGTAGTAGTAGAAATTTCCTATTAGCAGCATTATTCTATTTTAGTAAATACTCCATATTCCTAAAAGGATTTCTAAGAAGAATTCATGTTTTCTAGCATGGTTAGGGTAGGACCCTTTTTATAAGGTTTTGTGTGTTGATATTTTGGCATTTCGCATACCCTTCTTGTAAGGAAGGGTCTTAATGTCCTCCTCTTCCTTCTAGTTTCACTTCATGTCCTTGGGCAAGGTCCCAGACCAATGCCCTTAACAATGGTTCATCCTATTCATCAATACCAGCCAATTCAAACATAATTTTTGCGAATTTAGACCCTCAAACACTTCAGTTTTTCAGCCAACGTTTCCCCTTGCCGTACACTCTTTTAACCCCCCATTTATCAAATGAAGATTACACAGAGGGTCTCTGGAATTGTGTTTGAGAACAACATTAGCTTCAACTTCAACTAAATATAGTTTTGAATTTTTAACAATTTGTGTTAGCTTATGAATTATGGCTTCGGCTGCGCGAATTGAGCTATACAAGTGCTTTTCAACAATGCTAAGATAAAGGCTCCGTTTGGTACACGGAATTCAAGTCATGGAATTGGAATTGGAGACTTCAATTCCAATTATGCTGTTTGGTAACACAAAAATATGTGGATTCGGAATTGGTAGTGCAAAAAATGAGTTGAAAATGGAGAATTCAATTATATAGAATTCCAATTTCAATTCAATTCCAATTCTGCCAATTCACCAAAGTACCAAACAGGCCCTAGGTGATATCTGCTTCTAACTTAACATTTCTACTTTTCCAAGAAGCCACCATGCCTACAAACACCCTCATATAAGCAAACTTGCAATCAATTAACTTCATTTCTTCATAACACCAAAAATCAGAGTTTTGGAGCCACACATTTTACCAGGCAAACAATGATAAGTGATTCATATTGTAAAACTCAATGGTAAAAGTGAGATACAAAGCTCAATGTAGAGTCTACCTGCTCAGACGAGAGCTCGCGCTCACCGTGGAAAACGACAACTCTGAAGCACTCTGCAAAGCTGAGATCATAAACCCTAACCATGGAGTCGAAAACCACCAATCCCACCAAGACATATTCCGGCAACTGCGCGACCAGATGCAGCAGCTCATTCTTCACTGCCCTGAGCTCTTCTTCCGGCGTACAGGCATCCACTACAAACACAAACGCCGGCCCGGTAGAAACCGGCCCAGAAACAGCAGGCAGGAAGCTGGAAAATGTGGGAAGTGATGAAAATGATCCGCGGGTTGATTTGGGAGATGGGGATGAGGATCCATTTCCGAAACCGGACACCAGATTCGAAGATGAACGGGTTTTATGAGTCAACAGCCCCTTCTTCCCCAGCTGATACTCCACCGTGCTGTACGTCGGGAAAAGCTCCGCCGGGATATTGTTCTCGCTGATGGCGAGGTAGGATTTCGGGAACGGGTTCTTCTGGCTGCAAAACGGGCAGGACCAAGTGCGGGTCGGGTAGTCGACGCGGGCATAGGGATTCAAAGCGGCGCCGCAACCGGAGCAGCAGAGAGGGTCGTAAGGGAGAACGGGGAGCTCGTTGAAAGACATCAATGGCGTCGCCATGATCGCTAAGGGGACTACCAGAGCGGAAGCTTCAGATTTGGAATAGGGCCATGAGTTCCACGACCAACGGAGGCCCTCGATCGCCTCCAGCTCCACGAAATCCATTGATGACCCAGTAGGAGAAATCAGCAGAATTCGAAAGATAGCTGGGGCGATCGCTCAAATTCTTCAGTGATATGGATTCGCGAAGCTAGGGCTTAACCCCATTGTCTATTGCGATTGTGGCAATCTCATAGCTGAGATTCTTGGAGTATGTTTAGCCTGCCCTAAATTAATAAACTTTTTTTTAAAAAAAAAAATGTTTGAAACTCGTCCATTTTTTAGGAGAACCATTTTTTTTTGGATTTTGAATAAAAAAATACTTAATCCATCCAATACTAAATTTTCCATTTTGAACAATGTAGAAAATTTCATCTTTTTAAAATTACTTTATTTACAAATTGGTATATGATAAAAAAAATAAATTACATTGTTCCAAACTAAATCAAAAACTTTACAAAATATGATGTGATAAGAATATTTTATTTTATCAAATAATTGATGAAAAATATGCAAGCAAACAATAATTATCGAGAGGTTGTAATAGTAACTGAGAAATTTATTGTTAGACGGAGAGAAGATAAGATGGAGATGTAAGTGGTATGCCACTTCAGCATATCTTAGTGTATCTAATCCCAAGCATTTCTAGCTTTTTACATTGCTCATATTATAAAAAATTTATTTTATCCTTATATAAGCCTCAACATCTTTTATACGGAGAATGAGTGGGCACTCGATGTGATGTTTTATATCGTACGGATTTTGAAATCCTAGTTCGGTATAATTCAAAATGGTTTTATATCAATATTGGTATAAATCGTAATAAATTAAATGTATACGCATCTAATATACACTATAAAACTTAACAAAATCTTTTATTTTTGAAAATCCAAAGTACTTTTAAATAAAGAAGCATACAACACTGAAAATGAGTATGTAATGTAAGAAATACTTATGAAACTTAATTTACATTTCACAAATTAAATACACTGAATGATAACAGAATAATATTTCAAATACCTATTAATATTTTTAAGTCAAAAAATTATAACTTGAATAAAAATATAAATTACACATAGTAAAACTTGAACCATATTTTGAAAATAAACCTACTACTTAAATTAAGAAATTAAAATGATTAGTTTATTAATATTAGGGTAATTTATCTAAATAAGACTTAAAATAATGACTTTCTCAGTATATGACCATATGTTTTTATTTCCCAATGTAAGACTATTGATCATTATCTATTAGTCATTATTCAACTAAATGTCCAACATAAGATGCCCAAAAACAAATTCCGAAAAGACCAAAACTTTTACTTTAATAATTATTGTTTGGATCAAATTAAACTCATAATCAAGAATAGGTTGTTACTTGTTACAAACTTAAACACTTCATAAATTTCTATGGACTTAACTTTTTTCTTAATTTAAATTTTATTGTAAGAAAAAGATTGATAAACCATGTTTTCCAAAATCAAAAGCATATATTATCATTTTATTGCATCTCTTTCGTGCAAACAAACATGAAAACAAAACCACACGAAAAAATATTTTTAAATTAGATATTTATTTAATTTCAACCACTATCACATAGATCAAATGCTTATAGGATTTATACCCAAAATCTTTGAATAATGAAACACACATTTGTTTGGACCCTACAGATCATATAATTAATTATTTTCACCACACTCTAGCTTAGAAAAAGAAATGCTATGAATTAACATTTTGCATTGTTCTTTATGAATAAACTAAGAATGCTTGAAAATACAATAAATGTTTCTTAGCTTCAAACTCAACATTAATGGCGGTTATCGATGTGGAATACTTACCACCAACAATTCAGAGAGCTTCAATAACATGTTAAAGGGTTGTCAAATGTTACTTGTAATAACTGTTATTGTCACAATGTTGTATAATAAACTCATTGATCAACTTGAGACACGATGCAAAGCATGTTTTGCGTGGTAGTGGAAAAATCATTTAGTTTCTCTTAAAATCACCAAGATATTTCAGAAGAATAAGAAAGATAACAACTTTTTCTCACAACAATCAGGAATTTTCTCCTAGTTAGTTCCACTGAAGAAATATTTTGGTCGACAGCGAAATTGATTCTTGGGAGAGATGGACAGAGTTGGTAGGCATCAAAATTGATTTTTCGTATTTCTATGTGTTGGTTTTAAAATCATTTGTTGTTTTAGATTAGCTTTTTATTTTTGTTGAGTTTTATTGAGCAACTCTCATTTATGTTATGAATGTAACTTTTTTTTAAAACTTTGTTATGTCAAAAAAGTTGTATCGTGTATGAGTTCTTATTTTAATTATTTCACTAATTAAATCAATTCTAAAAAAATAAGACGTGAAGTAGAATCGAATGGAGTGAGAATTAAGTTAAAACAAAAACAAATAAAAGATGAGAAAGTGAGCTAGTCAGAAAATAATACCAAAGAAAGTCGACTTCCTTTGAGGAATTAAAAAAATAACAAGAGATATTCGGCAAGAGAGAAGCACGCTAGACTTTCCATGACAATGCTGATTAAACTCAAAAAGTAATTTCAAAGGAAGTCATCGACTTCCTTTAAGAAAAAAAATGCGTCTGAAATTTTTTCAATAGAAGTTACTTACGGCGTTTTTTATTTTGTGAGGTCAGATCCAAAAATCTTCACTATGTCGGAATCTTTTTCAACTTTTGTCTTTCCATGTGTATTGACTATTGACGGTTGGAATACACAAATATATGAAAAGGGAAAACAAATTTGAAAAATCTAGGGATGATACTCCTTAAAATGTTATGGGCAGGGATCCAAAAATTTTGAAACATGACCAAGTGAATTCGAAACTTCAATTCGGGCGAGGGCGAAAATTTTGAAACCAAAAAAAAAAAAGGGAGGGAAACCGCACATTTTCTCCACACGTGTACGCTTCCATCTGTGCACCTCCACCCACACTATCCCCTCCTCCTTCTCCCTTCTTCATTCTCCGTCTCTCTGCATCCGAATTTCTGGAAATTTCTCGGCGATAAACTCTGAAATTCGCCTCGGAGGGAAGAAGATGATCAAGGAGTTCGGGTGCGAAGACCTGGTGGCATTCCCCCTCGACGTTGTCGCGAAGACGGGAGGACAAATCAGAACCAGCGCGGTGGTGATCCAAGTTCTGCAGAACCTCCGCCGCACCAGAGCTCACGAACTCTGCGGCTACTTTCTCTCCGTCACCAAATTCATCAGCATAGGTACGTATAGTTCCGGCTCGTGAGCTTATTCAGAACAGGAATTTGTATTTATTGGAGGTGAATCGGCCAATTTGAGTAATTTCTGTGTTTTGATGACGATAATAGGAACCCTAAAGCTGCTTCCATTGTCGAAAATCGTTATCATTCCGGTGAAGTACAATTTCCGGAGCTTTCTACCGACGCCGGGCGAAAAACTGGTCGGAGTCGTCAGGCGGGTGTTCCCGACGGCGGTGCTCTTGAGCTGCGGACCGATGAACGTCATTTACCTTCACCAGTCGAAGATGCCGGGGTACAAGTATGTGGGAGGAGATGCAGAGAAACCGGCGATGTTCCAGAGGGACGATCTGACGAGGATTGAGAAAGACGCGGCGTTGCGTTTCAAGGTGCTGGACGCGCGGTGGTCGGACGTCGGCGGCGGCGGCGGGCTCCTGAAAAGGGAGTTCAAAATCCTCGCGAGCATTGAAGGCGACGCCGGGGATTCTCTTGGACCGGTGGCGGTGGTTGAGTCCGACGGGTCGGCGGCTGACTTCCCGTGCTTTTGTCCGCCGCCATAGATCAGCGCTCGGTCCCTCGGGGACTGCAAATCCTGCAATTATTCCACTCGCTAAAGTGTGATGTACATTCGACCAAACACGGCCTTGCAACTCCGTGATAATTAACTCCGTAATTAATTATGCTTATATAAGCTCATTAGTGAGAATTTTGTAAATGGATAAGAACATCCTTAATGATTTTGTTTCGCTTAGTACTGATTGAGTGATTGCACTCGTTATCTCATCCATTTTATATTAGTAATGTTTCATTTCCAATGTAACGATTAAATTTTCATTTCTACTTAATACTTCCTCCATCCTAAAAGGATTGCAATATCACAAATTTTTAAATTTTTTAATTCATTTTATTTAAATTTGACGTAGGAATAAAAAATAAAATTGTATATTTAAAAATCACGTCAAAAGTTCTAAAAACAAGAAATGACAAAAATATTTTATTTTATTAAATAATCAATAAAAATGCAAAAAGGAACAAAAAATTCCCGTGATGATTTTATTAAATAATCAATAAAAACTTATTTATCCTATTTACTTTTTTTTTTACATAATGTTGCTTCATCATATGACATAATTTTAGAAAAAAAGAAATAAAACTCAGTTTTTGAACAAATTTTGTGCTTTTACTTTTTTATAGCAAAAAACTAGTTTAACTACTATCACGCGAACGAATCACAGCAAAAAAGGGCGATGCGTGATTCTTCCATGCCACCTGGCCTACCAATCGGGATCACGACACCTCCACCGCGAGGTGTTACGTAAAGCCTCAGGAATTATTTAACCAAGATACAATTGTTTCCTGAAAAAAGTCCCTTAATATGTCTTTTACCTACTCTTGTCAATCGAAGATTGGGGGAGGTGTGTATGGGGTGTTGGGTGGGTAGGGGGTAGGGAGGGTTTAGGCTCTGTTCTCTAGGCTTGATTTTTTTAAGTTCTTATGTGATCTGATTAGATTTGATCTAATTAGATCTGATTTTAATAATTATTAGTATTAAGCAGAAAAATAAGTCTTGGAGAACAAATCCTCGTGGGGATCTAAATGTACGAGAATCATCATTTTTTAAACAGAAAACCGTAGCCCATTATTATCATATTATGAATTATGACAACGAATGTTAATGTCAAAAGAAGGGGAGGGGGGGGGGGGGGTTGCATTGTGTTTGTTATATAGTGCTCTTGTACAATATTATTAATGAATGGTTGTAATTTGAATTTCCCTGCATGAATTGGATCCAAATTCGGATTCGCTAGTGCCATGCTGGTTTTGCATTTTAATTTTTCGTGACAGAATTTGCGACAAAAATTATTTAACGCATATATTCTGGCTATTTTTCAAGCAAGAATACATTGTTGCAAACTTCGTCATAGAAGATCGCGAGAGACAATATTTGTTGTAATTTCCATTGCTGGTTTTGTGGCGACTTTAAGTTTTTTTTGTCGCAACATATATAGTTTGCGCCCAAAAAAGATGCGACGAAATTTTTTCCGTGGCAAAACCATCGCAAAGGGCTAACACGACAGAAAATGACGTAGTTGCGATGGAATTTTTCCTTCAAAAAAATGTGAATTTTTTTGTAGGGTACAAAGTACTACGTATCATTATATATATATATATATATATATATATTTATATATATATATGTATATGTGTGTGTGTTTCCAAAGCTATGCTTAAGAAGAATATCATGCATCCACGGGCTCTTTAGTCTTTAGTCCTCCATTGCTTTAAGTGCGTGAGACAAGATAAGAATATGCCTTCACTAGGGATCACAGCCTCAAGTCAAGCACCAATAAAATAGAAAGGGAGGTCTAATGTATAAACTTTTGAACAAAAAATGTTTAGAAACATAAAAGGGAAGATTGATATGTATTCAATTCACAAAGAAATTATTTATACTTAAGTTGGTTTGGTACACAAAATTTAAACTATGAAACTAGAATTAAAAGCAATAATTCGAATTATGTTATTTGGTTACACAATACTCCGTAATTGTATATTTAGAATGAGTGAGGTTCCCATGACATAGGAACCCAATGTCATGAGATGACCTGGGGGTGCTCCGTTGCCCCGTTCGTAAAATTGACGATTCCTATCCTTTCGATAAACCCCTCACCCCGCCCCGACCTGAATACATCCCCTACCCCCGTCAATTGCACTCCACAAGTTGATTTTGACTTTGGAGTCAAAATTTGACTCCAAAGTCAAAATCAACTTGTGGGGTGCAATTGAAGGGGGTTAGGGGGGGTAAGAACCGTCAATTTTATGAATGGGCACCGGAGCACCCTCGGGTCATCACATGACATTGCCGGACAATGTCATGGGAACCTTGGTGATTTAGAATTTATAGTGCGAAAAATGAATTAAAAATGGAGAATTCAATTTAATCGAAATTAGTTCTATAGAATTTCAATTCCAAAATCAATTTTAATTCTATCAATTTCGTCTACCAAACGAATCCTTATAAAGATTCAAGCTCTTTCAATGAAACCACCAAGTCAATATTGTCAATGTCCATGTACGCATCTTACATCTAATATTAAGGGGCTGTTTGGCAACTTCTGAATAGGTAAGTGCTGAACCAGTAAGAGGTGGTCTGAACCATTAAGTGCTGAACCAGTAAGAGGTCTGGATCATTAAGAGCTAGTATATTGCTTAACTATTCAGAGGCAAATGTCTGATCAATTCAGATAAGAGCTCTTAACCATTCAGACTCTGTATAATACTTAACCATTCAGAGGCAAATCTCTTAACTATTCAGACATTTGAACCATTAAGAGGTTGAAACAAACCGTCTGAACCATTAAGTGCTGAATCATTCAGACATCTGAACCATTAAGAGGCTGAAACAAACAGCCCCTAAAACTAACAACAATACCGGCCTAAACTCCAAATTTTATAAAGAATTCACCTTAAAAGGAGTAAAACATAGAAAAGTAACAAAATATGAGTTTCATGTAAAAATATTTTAACTCATATTTGAGAAATATGAAACTTTTATTTTGATATATTTTCAATGTTTTACTCCTACTTTAGTTTTTTTACCAACTTTATATTCTATCTGTACCAATTTAAATCGTCTCTTTCGGATTACAATGTTCGACTGAAATAATTTTTAAATAATTTTATATTAATGTTGAATTTAAAAATAAAAATTATATATTTAAAGATTACAGCAAAAGATCAACAAAACTAGTGGTGACATGACTTTTATTTTATCAAATAACTAATGAAAATATGAAGTAAAACATATAAAGTTTAACAAAGTAAATTATAAACATGTAATTTAATTTGAGACGGAAAAAGTATTTCAATTATGACTTAGCTGCAAGTTTTAAATTTGATTTGCTATACGTAAGGAAAAGAATATAAGGAAAATGGCTAGACTAGGAGTAAAACATGAAGAAAAAATTAAAATAGAAGCACTATATTTTTTTAATTTCAAAATAGGAGTTATAATGACATTAATGTGAATATATAGTACCAAAAAATGCAGCGAGATGTCGTTATACATACCCATAATGTCACAATATAAATTTTTATTTTGGGATAAAAAAATAGAACACATACTTTAAGAATAAATGCTACGGCTACCCGAGTATGATTTACACTTATTTGGAGTGATTTCTTAAAATCATATTAAAATTATAACAAGAATAAGAAGTGAGAAAAATACATTATTCTATAGAATACAAAGTACATAAGAAAAACATATAAATAAATAAAATTATGGAAAACTAAAAAAATCATAATAATCAAATCTTAATTCAAAATTTACACATGAAATATTGATCTTTTTAGTGACAAATTAATCCTTTTTTATGACATAAGTGTACTAAAGTTAATAAAATAAAGCATGACTACAACCAAATAGAATCACCTACTCCGTGAATAAAAAAGTAGGGATTCGATTGAGAGTAAAAGAGAAGTCTTTAACAGTAGAAGTACATTTGGGTTGTCCACCAAATTGGGGAACGGGGCAGGGGAAGGTACAACTCCATTTTCTATCTTGCCGCTGTGCGGAGGCAAACGGCGACGATCGGAGCCCCTGAAGCGAACGCAGCCAAGGCCGCCGACACAGCCGCAGGTGACCGGCGATTTCTGAAGAAACACGGAGAGACGACGACTCCTGCGATTAGGTTTTGTTTCACGCGATGTGTTTTTTTTTCTCTCGTCATTTTGTGTTTAATTTTATGCACTTTTTTTAATACTCCGTATATCATATCCCATATAAATGTTTGAGGGCTGTTCTCGTGATTATGTGTTGTTACCTACCTTCAATTAAACCTATAATAATCAAAACAACTTTCTGTAATACTTAATGTCTAGTTACTTACAGAGTAATTGGTTTAACAATGTTCTTCCGAATAAACACTCAGAGCATAATTACGTAGGACTGTAGGAGTCCTAAATTATGCTTTGGTTTGTTTGGAGACCAATGCATGGTTCTGATTGTTTTTAAATTTGAACTGTTTTGTCACTCTTAGATGCTTCTTCAGTTGTAAATTTATGTGTACATAAATTGCTTTGTTAGCGGAGGGAGAAGTGGAGGCATAAGATATGCATAAAGAACGTAATCATGGCTCCCAAGCAGGGCCTGGAGGACGTTTACGTCGCCGCAGAGGCTCAAATGAGGTAAGGGAAATTTTCGTGGGTTTTTTTGATGTTCTTTAAAATTGAAATTTTCCATGTAGCCTATGATGAGAAATTGGGTGGTCGTGAATGATATTCTCACATTCGTTATCAAGTGTCAACTTATAGCCCACTCTATTAGCTCTCGTTATAGTTACATTTAGATAGTCTTCAGTTTTAGTTGGGCTAGATGCAATGACATTTAACTCTTATTTTGATAATTTACTACTGAAATTAAAGGTTCCTGGCGAGGCTGTTAGAGAAAATGGTGATCATTTACTTGTCAATGATCAAAACAAGTACAAATCAATGCTGATACGGGGATATTCATCTGTGTGGATGATTGGTGGATTTGCCTTTATAATTTACATGGGTCACCTGTATATCTGTGCCGTAATTGTTGTTCTCCAAATCTTCATGACAAAAGAGTTGTTCAATCTACTTAGAAGAGATCATGAAAACCAGCAGCTCCCTGGGTTCAGATTATTGAATTGGTGAGTAAAA